GCCGAGTCGTACAGATCTATTCAGGTCAACAAATTTACGTATTTTAATTTCATCGGAAAAAGATACCGCGGTAAAAGTTGCAGTTACCCTATATGACGGTTATGTCAAGTAAATGCATCGGTTTCGCAAAAAGTCCGAATACATTTGCATCCGCAATTATCCAGAACGCCGTGCTCCCTGAAAGAAAGCGAAAACGATATTTGATTGCTTAGAGATTGCGGATTCACGCTGCTTCTCTCCAAACAATTTCTTTTACGCGAAACTTCACGCATCCCGCTACTTTCCGAAACGTAGCACTGCCAAGGATATCCTGTCGCCCTCCACTCGACTCGATAAGTCCTCCAACCGGCGACCGTCTAATCTGGAAATGAATCGAGTCATTTGTAAGATTGGACTTTCATTTGTTCGAATATTTCAGCCGGCCCGCTGATTCGAATCTTGCCAACAATTCCATTTCCGCGGCTGCTCCTTCTTTTATGAATCATTACTACGTCGAGCTATTCTCCCTTCGTTCCTCGCATCGTCGACTACGTTTAACCAAGATTCATTAACGATAAACGACGGGAGATCGTCCGTAAATTACTGTCTCGTGCCGCGCCGCGTCAGGTTGACACGCCGAAATTCGCGAGCTAAACGCGGAACAGATTTTATTTCGGCAAGCTCACCCTTCGACCCAGTTCGACGGTCGAAACACGATCACGAATTTATATTCCGTCTGCGAGCAATGTATCTCCTTCTATTCGAACAAGATTAATGCTTTTTGGAAGTTCTTACGTCGAGCGCTTTGTTGCTGCTTGTTTTACCTCTCGCGGGAATCGCGTTTCCATCAATCTACGTAAATACCTCGGAAATTGTTGTTAATACTCCTCGCTGTCGCGGACGACAGCTTTTGCAGGACGACGTCGGTGCCGGAACTACTCTAGACTGCTGAAAATGATTCATTACGGGACGATTTATTGATTGAAGCACTTGTTACGAGATTTTGTTTTTCATTTGATTTGATTTATTAACGGGCGTGGTATACGTAAGGGAGCAACGTAGCGAAGGATGATGAACAATGATGTATGGATTATAACTTGAAACTTAAGCATCTTGTGCTCCGTCGGAAGGAACTAAAGGCAACGTCAAAATTTACTCTGTTGAGACTAACTAACTAACGATTCATAATAATTCTTTTGTAAAAACTTTGCATTTTTATACTAAATTACATTTATATGTATTGCTGAACAAACAAGTAGGTTGGAATCTTTGTGGCGCAAGTCTCATTTTCGAAAATGGCTTATGCTTTAAAATGTATTCTATACATGGCAAAATGTTGAACGAACAAGTGAAATAAATGTTGAAGTTACTATAAATTAAGTTAACTCTAAATTATCGTATTGATAAATTTGGCGAATAAACAATACACGTGTTAGTAAATAATAGCACTTCTTGTTTCTCACAATGAGAAAAATGTGACTTACTATGATTCTAACCTATTGAAATGTTAACCGCAAAGTGGCACCCCAAAAACATTCATCGAAAAACATGGTGTCTTTATGGAAGTATTAAAATTGGATGCACTCATCATTTTTATTTAGGTCTTGATGTATAGAAATTTTTAGTAAATCAATTATTAATAATATAAGTAATCAATTATTAATGTCTACTCTCCAATGAAAATTAAATACATATACACATTAAATGCGCACATACATACATTAAATACATATGCATATACATACATTAAATACATACATACATACATACATTAAATACATATATACATAGATTAAATATATACATCCATGCATACATTAAATAATACATACATACATTAAATTATAGACTCATGCTTTGTGAAAACTTCGCATTTCTCTACTAAATTATATTTTTATGTATCTCTTTCAACAAATATTAATCGCAAATTGGCACTAAAACACATTTCTCATTGGTGCAAAATAACCTTAAAAATTCAAAGGAAAAACATAGTGGATTAACGAAAGTATTTTAATCGGATGTAGTCATTAACATTTTCATTTATGTTTCACTTTCTGAAGATTCTTAGCACAGATCACAAATTTCAGTTCCCCGATCAAAAGATATAAATTCATACATTAAATTATAGACTCGTGCTTTGTAGAATCTTCGCATTTTTCTACTAAATTACACACCGATGTATCTCTTTGAACGAATGTTAATCGCAAAGTGGCGCCAAAGAACACATTTCCCACCGTTACGAAATAGCGCCAAAAATTCATCGAAAAACATGGTGGCTTTATGGAAGTATTCAAATTCGATATCCGAGGGAATATTGAAAATTTGCAACTATTTACAGGAAGTGGCGGGAGAATGTTTACTCGCGGCGGGATTTCTTTAACGAAAGGTCGCGGAATTCGTATCGGCGTGATTCGTGCATCGGCATCGTGCATCGGCATCGTGCACCACGTGCATCGGCCGAGGAGGAAGTGGTTCCTCGTCTCTATGAGCATTCCGCGACAAGATGGATGCAACGTCCTCGTTTCCCAGCGTTCTTTCCCCCCGCGCGACATCTTTATTTGCTTCTCTTCTGTCTCGCGGTATCTATATCGTCGGCCACGTAGTCCCGATGAATATTTATACAGCGAGATAGAGCCGCACCGAGGGAGAAAAGCGGTGCATCCAGGTTGCAACGGTGCAGCAACCTCCTGAAATCGAGTTCAACCGATACCGGGCCGCAGGTACGCGCGCGTATTATATTCCCACCCCCGCCGATTTCGAGCCGGCAGCTTCTTCGTGGGTAAACTCCGACTGTTCGCGGATCAATGCGTCCCGTTGTATGCTTTTGCCCGTTTTCCTGCTGCTGCGAAATTTTCCTGTAAAAAGTGAAAGCACGGCGTCGTTCCCCTACGTAACCGTATCCGCCCTCGATCGTCTCGCGAGCCGTAGGAAATGCGAAACAAAGTTTTATTGGGTGCTTCGCATTCGACACCGCGGAAAAAGGTTATCGGTGAAATTCTTCGGCTCGATCTACTAGCTTCCCGATTCTTTGGTATTTTCCTGACCGTTGGGTTTTCGGTCAACTTCGATCCAATTTATCAAAAACTTCGCATAACTTATCGACATTCCAGGAGCCAGGGTAATTGTGTCAATTACGCCCGAAGTTATCGACAAGTTAAATAGTTCTTCTTACCTATGCTATTAAAACATGCTTCTTAAAACATTTAACTTGCATGTCGATGTCTTTCATATAAGCGCGAGTTTGTTCGTAATCGAGATACATAAACAACGCGATATATTTAGCAAAATATACGTAACAGTTCTTGAGCGAGTTGCTGCGCACTTAAAAAGATGGAAAGTTATTAATTACCGTGTATCACTTACCGAGCCTTTTCTAGTTGCTGCGTATGTTGATGGATGCCCTCGTTGAGATGGTCTTTTGCAAATTCATATGTTTAAAAGATGAGCTGCAAATTGAATTTTTATAGATATTTATATTTGCATTTTATTCGGTGGGAATAAAAGTCGAGCGAACTCGCGTAAAAACACTGCGAAGGTTTTTCTGTGTGCGCACAGTTCGTTGCGTGCCAATTCGCTGGCCAGTTTGATAAATAGTTTCTTATTTACTTTGAAATATTTTGTAAACCGTTTAATTTGTTGCATTTAATCTTTTGTTGACGAATTTTCGAGTTGGATGTGCCGGATACTCTCGCGCCGTGGCGCATAATCATATTCATACGTAACCTGATTAATTATCACCTCCCACAACCTTTTCATTCGAAATGCTTTGATGTAGTACACAGTTATCGCATATTCGATTAAACACGGGTATCGAATTAATATCCGTAAATCCAGTGGCAGTATTGCGTTTCCGATATAATCCGAACCACTGTGATAATTTCATTTTTGTTCGAACTGGAACGTTTCTTAGGCACGTCAAACTTCATACGAGATTTATTACTGCAATTTCATAATTCTGCTGAAATTGCATTGATCTTGACTGTATTCGTATAGTATATACTTAATAGTTGTTTCACTTTTAGGTAATTTTATAATATATATTAATTAAATATATATATAAATATATATTCTTATAAAATTATGTAAAAGCGAAGCAACCAATAATTATTCGCATAATTATTTGAATCATTTTACTTATTTGAGAAAATAGATAGAAGAATGTATGGCGAGTAAAACATTATTCGAATAAATAGATAGAATAATTAAAATGTTTCATGCTACGTGTACCATCGATGGTATATGCTTATCTGTTTATTTAATGCATAAAAAAGTAGCAAAATTAGAACTGTAGAATTAATTTCCACCACAAGAATGGGTCATAATAAGTTAATAATATAAGTATAATATAAGTATAATATAAGTAATAATAAGTTAATAATATAAGTTAATATATATAAAACAAACTTATTATGACCATTCTTGTGGTGGAAATTATATATATATATATGTAATTACGTACAATATATCAAGTTTTAGTACAATATCAAATGGCCAGTGTGAAAAGTCGAGTAAAAACAGCTCGGCACGGAACGTGTTAACCCCTTGGGTACATTTGTCGGCCGAGACTCGCCATGCACTTGTTTTGCCTAAGTTACGGACGACGAGTATAATTCGTCATTCAAACTAGTTACTCAAACTTCTAATTACCGTGAATATTATATCGCTCAAATGAATGAATTCTCACACAAAATCTGCCACCTTTCTATACTATTTCGCGCATCAGCAAATTAAATCCGTTCCAAACGCAAGAATTTTGTCAAATAAATCTGTACCCAAGCGGTTAATAATTAACAATCGTTATTCGAATAAAATATTCGACTGAAAGGAATTCATTCGGAATTGATCTTAGACAAGTATTTATTCGAAACAATTCGAATAACCTTGCCTAACAATGCCCAACCTTGGTTTATACCACGACCGACGTTCCAGTCGACGCGTTGATCGATCACTCGTTAAATCTTCGAACGTCGACCGCGTCCCGCCTAATCCATGCTGATACGACTCCAAACAATCTTTTTCAGGGGCGCAAATGTCTCGATCCTGCATTTACGCAGCACTTCCGATCCGTGGGAAGTGGGTTCCCAAGGATCCGCGTACAGCGTCGGCAGCAATAAAAGCCAAAGCAGCGGCAGGGGAAAGCCGAGCGGGAACTCGCGAGGCTCGTACACGCGTGGCACATCGATACCATCGTTAAAACGTCACGACACTACGGCATCGATATCGTCGACCTCGAGCTTGAAACAGCATCGACAGGACAGCCACGGGCAGGCAAGTTAAGCAATCCAAAATAGAAACACACGCGTGAGATTTTTTAAACAAATGTTTTTTTTCGGAGACGAGTTCCGGGGCCTCGATTTTCCACACGTGAAACTATTTAGTTGTTGCAAAAAAATAATTGTGGTTTTTATTTTGTTTAATTTTATTATTATTATTATTATTATA